TGCCGGCATTAAATAACCCATTGAGGTTGATATGCCGTAAAACAAAAATAAACCAAACCAATTCTGATCCAAAGAATACATATTCTATTCATACGAATCTATCCTTAATGTTGCAGGCATTAAATAACCCATTGAGGTTGATATGCCGTAAAACAAAATAAACCAAACCAATCTAATCCAAAGAATACATATTCTATTCATACGAATCTATCCTAAAAATGTTGCCGGCATTAAATAACCCATTGAGGTTGATATGCCGTAAAACAAAATAAACCAAACCAATGTAAACCAAAGAATACATATTCTATTCATACGAATCTATCCTAAAAATGTTGCCGGCATTAAATAACCCATTGAGGTTGATATGCCGTAAAACAAAATAAACCAAACCAATGTAAACCAAAGAATACATATTCTATTCATACGAATCTATCCTAAAATGTTGTTTGGCATTAAATAACCCATTGAGGTTGATATGCCGTAAAAACAAAATAAACCAAACCAATGTAAACCAAAGAATACATATTTTATTCATACGAATCTATCCTAAAAATGTTGCCGGCATTAAATAACCCATTGAGGTTGATATGCCGTAAAACAAAATAAACCAAACCAATGTAAACCAAAGAATACATATTCTATTCATACGAATCTATCCTAAAAATGTTGTCGGCATTAAATAACCCATTGAGGTTGATATGCCGTTAAACAAAATAAACCAAACCAAACTGACAGGTTTTCTTCGTGTTGTCTGGGACTATCAGATCCTGTCTTCTGGCTGGAATTAGGTAATCAACTTGAATCCCAAAACAAAATCCCCGAGGAATTTATGTTTCATTATTTAGGATAAATTCTGATGAGGATCGCCTTGGTCAGAAGGATTTTCTGTTTTGAGGAGTGGTGTATTAGTGATACTCAACCTTCTTAAACAATGGCACAACTAGAATCAAATGAAAATAGCACAGCACACTTAGATTTTATCTGAACATTTGCCATGGAAATAGAGATAAAGTGGTGGAAAAGAGTCTAAAGAGTGGGAGAGAAGTAATCATCTACAAGCCCACATTTCCCGTCTGACAGATTTTCTTTGTATTGTTTGCGACTACCAGATCCTGGGGTTGGATAATCAGCTTGAATCACCAAACAAAATCCCTGAGGATTTTGTTTCATTATTTAGGGCAAATTACGATGAGGATCGCTTTGGTCATAAGTAATTTCTGTTTTGGTGGGGTGTTGTATTATAGCAGTGTTTATCAACAACCGAACGCCTAGGGGCAAATGAAAACAGCACAGCACTCTCAGCAACATTTTTACGGGATACGTTTTAAATATTATGAAATAAAACCATAGATTAAAAAAATACACACATAAATAGGAACTTACTTTATTTCAATGTTTCTATTTAACTATTTTTGCAGCTTATTTAGTGAGAAATCTGATCTTGGTGTTTTTTTTTCGTGATTTCTTCAATGTTTGGTCGAATGTGTGATAAGCAGACCCTCATTTCTTCTTCACTTGATCGTAGTCTTTCCTCGCCCCTTATTTTTGATGTTATTTAGGGTTCAGAAGCCTAATTTGCACAAATAAGAAGTAGAAAATTTGCAATAAAACTGATAAAGCCTTTTTAGCTAATGTGGGATTTTCTTTTTGTATTGAAATCCAAAATGTATAAATATTTCGCTGCACACTTGAGAGGATCGTCCGGCACACTTGTGTACCTTGCACAGCGGTTGGGAATCGCTGGTTTAAAGTGATAAATTAATTAATAGATAAAAAATATCCCTTACTTCATTAGAAATTACTTTGTTTACGTTCGATTACAAAACTGAGAAGATATGAATTCTTCGAGTAGCTTTGCAGAAATTGGCGCTGAAATCGACCGGCAAGAGACCTTGTGGAAGAGTTGATCTAAAACTCATCGGATTTAACGAGGGTTTCTCCTGCCAAGGGGGTTTCAGGTTCGAATCCTGTTGGAAGGAGCATCTTTTCTTTAATGATATGCAGGAATTTTATGTCAAATCTGACTCTTGGAAAATAAAGTTTGACAGAAGGAGTCAGGCATTTCCTGTAGCGAGGCAATGCAGCGATTATTTTGTCAGCCTCTTTAGCAATAGATCGTATATATGACTTTCACTTCAGGTCTGGGTGAACTTGAGACCCAGACTAACATTTTCCAAATTAAGGGTGTTTCATTAAAACGGATAAAAGTCATCAGTAAATAAATCAGTGTTATTGATGAAAATTTATTTATTTCTCTATTAGTTCATGTTATTTAAATCATGGCAATTATGTGTGAAGAATAATATCTCCCAAATGTCCTCCATGGCTTCGGCGGCACACTTCCACTCGATGGTTAAAATTTTTGATGACGTCTCTGCATAGTTGCTCCTCGATCTCAACAATATGCCTTATTATCTCATCCTTCAGCTGTTGAATTCTTGTTGGCATAGACCTTACTTTTAAGATGACTCCAAAGATAGAAATCTAAAGGCGTCAAGATCGTGGTGGCCAATTGACTTTGCTGTTTTGAAAGATGATGCGACCTGAGAACTTCTCATTCAATAACGCCATTGTTGCATTGCTTGTGTGGCATATGGCGCCGTTCTGTTGGAGCTAAAATATCTATAGCATTCAATTCAGGCCATAAAAGTTGGTTATCATGGCACGGTATCTCTCGTTTTTCACCGTAACAGAGTTAACGGTATCATTTTCGAAGAAACACGGGCCAATGATTCCGCTAGCAAAAAATGCACACCAAACCTTTTCGCGGAAGCAGTAGTTTTTCAACAATCTTCCTTGGATTTTCATCAGCCCAAATGCGACAATTCTGTTTAGTAACGAATCCACCAAGATGAATATGGGCTTCAAGAGGATTTTTTGTGAAAAATCTTCATCGGCTTGTCTTTGCTCGTGAACCCAATTGACGAAGGTACGGTGCTCCGATTGGTTAGCACAGGCCAAAAAGGTGATATTATTTTGAGGCGTGATAAACTGTTGTTTACAACAATACCTCAACACAACATAACCTTCATCTGGAAGAGAAAATAACCTTTCCAGATTAATATAACATCATAAACAAAATAAACTTTTTTCCCAAATGCAGACGCAAAAGTACATTCCTGTTACGCTATATACAACCACATTACGGCTCCAAAGACTAAGCAACTAATAACCTATCAACTAAAATAAATAAACCCGATTTAAAATACCAAACTTTAGAACCTGTGAAAGTATATACGAATAAATAAATGGATAGAAATAATCACTTTTCAGAACAATGTAAACTTTGAAACAAAAGACCAAAAATTATTCGCAAATGCATATTCCAACAAATGGCCTAATTACGCTACATACAATTGCATGTCTTCGCAAAACGCCAAGCGACTAATAATCCATGAGCTGAAATTAATACATTTTATTTCAGATGCCAAGCTTTAAAACCAGAGAAAGCATACACTAATAAAATGAATAAAATTAAACAATGTAATTGCCGAATAAAAGTGAAATAACTCGAGAAAATCAATGGTATAAAATTAATGGTATAAGAATTAATTGTATAAAAATTAATGGTATGAAAAAGACATTTGTTAAGACGAGAAAAAACTGAACTTGAAATGAATAAAAATAATAATCGCCTTGAATAGAAACACCTTATTTTTTTATATTTTTCGTTTTTATCTTTATCTTTTTTCCTTTTTGTTCTTTTTGCTTTTTTTATATTTCTTCGTTTTTTCTTTTTTTCGTTTTTCTTTCCTTTTTAGTTTTCTTTTCTCTTTTTCTTTTTTCGTTTAGCTTTTCTTTATTTTCTCTTTCTCTTTTTCTTTAACGCTTTACTTTTCTTTTTTTTCGTTTAGTTATTCTTTTCTTTTATTTTTTTTTTTTTCTTTTTTCTTTTCTTTTCGCTTTTCTTTTTTCTTTCTTTTTCTTTTCGTTTATCTTTTTTTTTCTTTTCTTTTTCGTTTATCTTTTTTCTTTTTTTCGTTTATTTTTTCTTTTTTCTTTTTTTCGTTTTTCTTTTTTTTTTTTTTTTTCGTTTATCTTTTCTCTTTTTCTTTTTCGTTTATCTTTTTCGTTTTTCTTTTCGCTTTTTGTTTTTTCGTTTATTATTTTTCTTTTCTCTTTTTCTTTTTTCGTTTATCTTTTTCTTTTTTTTGGTCTTTTCCTCTTTTTTTTTTTTCTTTTTCTTTTTTTCTTTTTTCTTTTTATTATTTTTTTTTCTTTTTTTTTTTCCTTTTTTTCCCGATGTGTAGCATTGACATTTATGGCATTTGTACCTTTCCTCCCTGTCGGCCACTGTCCATCGCTTTTGAATAAATATGCCTGATTTTATAGCATTATTTAAATTTTGCACACCCAAGAACACATAAAATACAAATCAAATAAACAAACCTGGGCTAGGACGATACATAATTTAAAATTATTAGCCCTAAACAAAACACAAGGAAGAACTGGTTCCCCTCTCCCACGCTTCCCACAATCACCCAATGACCTATATATCGATCCTACCCAAAGTGTGGTTTAACGATCAAACTTGCCACGACGTAGAATAATAGTTTAAGGTTATTTACTGCAATTTTATGACGATCGGATCAATAAATGAAAATTCACGAATTTTTAAAAAACCCCGCTCGATAATATTAGACGTTTATATTAGATATCTTATATATATACATATACAACACCTACTCAGATATATGGATGCAAGATATATATAGTTAAGCAACGACGTGTCTAGTCAGTACCTAGATGAGTGAACTTTTGGGAATACTGGGTACTGTAAGCTTGGATGTGCGGGTGGTGTAATGGATAATTGAGAAACAGAGAGCAGAGTTCCAATTATCATTGGGTTCGTTATATACACCTACGCGCAAATACGCTTGAATCCATCCCTTCTCCCACCAACTATGGGTTAATTAGTAAGGCTAATAGCACTAAACAATTAATCTCCCTCAAAATTTTAAAATTTATAAATGTGTTCAGGCTTTAAATAACCTGCAAAGCTATTTCTATCTATCTATCTATCTATCTATCTATCTATCTATCTATCTATCTATCTATCTATCTGTTGAAAATGCCAATTGTATATCTGTTCTGTATGTGAGTCGTTATTCTACAAAATTGTATTCTATCGAAGGTGAAAATTGAGCATCATTATTTCTCTCTATCTCTCTTTATATATATATATATATATATATATATATATATATATATATATATATATATATATATATATATATATATAAAGGAAAAAAGCATGACAAACTGTAAAAAATATTCGCCTGTAAGGATTTTATCGACGTAAGTTTATATTTACGTTGTTGCAACTACGCATGCGCACAACTACAAGTGAGACAGTGAGAATTTTAAATATAAAGTAATTTATTAAAATATGTATTTTAGGCATATAATCTAAAATTGGTCTTGATAAATAAAAAATATCTATCATTAGCCCATATATATATATATATATATATATATATATATATATATATATATATATGACGTCACACATTATGAAATGGACAAAGTCCATTTTTCTGAGAAAATTTCTCGGACATTCAGGCCGGTAAATGTTGTTTAATACTGTTTATTATAAACAAAGCATTTACATAAATATTTCTATCTATAAAAATAATGTAAAAAAAAATATATATATATATATATATATATATATATATATATATATATATATATATATATATATACTAGCAGCATGGCCCGGCGTTGCCCATGCTTGATTCAAAAAATCGTACGACTCATACAGCAATCGCTATCACTTGACTTAAAAATATTTTTGCCCTTCCTTGCTTTTAAAGGAGTGCCCTTTTCCGTGCTGATGTTGCTACATGCCTTACTTCTTGCCTATCTCACACTGCAAATTTTTTCTAAGCTCTATACTAAACATTAAATCTGTTACGAAAAAAGAACTAAACAAAATGAACACAAAACGATCAGCTTTAAAAAAAGGACTCGTAACTGGAAAAACAGAATGAAAAATGAATATTAACAACAAATAATTTTTTACACCCAACCCAGTTCTGCGGAATCAGAATCAACGTTGAGTTTAAGCAAGCGAATGAGCCAATTGGAGTAAAGTGCCATGCAGATTTAAATTTTTCTACTTGTGACGAATGCAGCTATCAATTTCTTTTGCATGCTAGAATGCTAGTTAACATTCGTGTCAGTCAGCTGTTGGCTCTCACGTTGGCCAATAGAATCTTCCTGCCTATTCGTGGCAGTCAGATATTGGCTCTCACTCTGGCCAGTACAAAATGGCCGCAAACTACATGAAAACTGCCGTAGAAGCATGAAAAAATCGATTATTTCCACTATCGATGGGAGTTGGGAAATGCAAAGTTGGTCTTGGCCTTCCCACTAACTTGGAGCATGTGCATGTAAATTTTGGTGCAAACCCGTCGAAAATTGGGGCCGTGCATTCATTACACACACACACATACACATCCTGCCTTATATATATATATATATATATATATATATATATAATTATGTTATAAGACTGAAAAGGTTAATTGTCATAATAAATAAATAAATTGCTTTCGTCTTGTCTGGTTTACGCACGTCCGCACTTTAAGAGCGCCGCAGCATTTACCTACCTCTCCACAACGCCTTTTTTTACGTGGGTCGTCCAGAGCCCGTAGGCTCGAACAAAAATTGCCCGTACACCCCGTAATAGCGAGGTCGGGTTTGTCTACCTCCCCAGAGAGACTGATGTTCCTCTATGCCTTCGGCGTGCACAAACAGCTCAACCCGCGGCAAAGAGCTAATGTTGACTCTTATGAAAAGAGCGCTTCTCTCGATTGAGAAAAAACTGGTGCTTATATAGCTATCTCAGTGCCAGAACCACGCTGACTATTGGCTAATACCTGACCAGTATTGTTCAGATGCAAATAGGCAGCGCCGCCTACTCTAAGCAAAAGGTCTTCTCTCAACAGCCGATTGTGGAAGGGGACGTAACTCCTGCTGCTTATATAGCTATCTCAGTGCCAGATCCACGCTGATTATTGGCTAACACCTGACCAGTATTGTTCACATGCAAATAGGCAGCGCCACCTACTCTAAGCAAAAGGTCTTCTCTTTGTGGAAGGGGTCGTAACTCGTTGTGAATTGGTTGCCTGTGGTTCTACAGCAACTCCAGTAACCAATTCGGACTCTCTTATAGGGCTGACCCGATTTTTTGTCACGGCAAGATTATAAACAGTACCTTGAATTTTATTCTAGAATCAACAAACATTTAGCACAATGGAGTAGAAAGGGCTCTATAGCTACGGAACGGCTCCATAGCTGAGGTTAGGTGTGGTGAATAATGAAGATTAAAGTAGCGAAATTATATTATGAATAAACCATACAAAATCACACACACACATACATACATATATATATATGTATATATATAGTGGTAGAATCCCCGACTGACGCCAATTCAGTCGGGTTTCGACTAGAGGTAACCGGATGTCTAGCCACACTGATGAGCTGTAATAAATATATATATTGTTATCCACAGACAGACTGTTTCGCTTTATTATATAACATTTTTTCCTGGTCTTACCTGATGATTTCTACGACTCCATCGGCGATAATAAACATTTCCCGTGCCACTTCACCCCGTCTACAAATTAGGTCTCCGGGTGTGAAGATGTGGGCTTTCATCTTCAAGACCAAATCATGAAGAAACTCCGGTTGGCACTCTTGGAAAATGGTTACCTGGAAAAAAAATACAAAATGAGGGAAAAGGAAGATAATGAAAATGGTAAAAGAACATTGGAAGAACATGTAGCCACATGACCGAAACTCCAGCAAAGATTTTCCTATCAGAAATAATAATAATAATAATGATAATGATAATAATAATAATAATAATAATAACAATATCAACGACAATAACAACAACAACTTCAATAATAATATTAATAATGATAATAATAATAATTTTATTAACAGTGTCCCAGGTTACATCAACATACAAGTTTCCCAGAAAATCGCTCTACTAGGAACATCCCATATGCTAAGAGAAGTGCTATCAATTAAATGTTTCCCCTAAGGAAAGTTTGGATCCGGCCTTACTATTCAAAGGAACATCCACAAAAATAATAATAATAATAATAATAATAATAATAAGAAGAAGAAGAAGAAAGTGCTATGAATTAAATGACAATTATCCTATAGGGCCTAGCAACCATAGTTTGGATCCAGCCTTACAGGATTTAAAGCAGGAAACATAACATACACAAATAATAATAATAATAATAATAATAATAATAATAAGAAGAAGAAGAAGAAGAAGAAGAAAAAGAAGAAGAATTAACAGGATGTGGGGAATTAAGACTAACACCGGCTTTTGGGAAACGGAAGGAAATGTGTATGCAACAAAAATCAAAGGAAATAATAATAATCCTGATGAGGATGATGATAATGGCCCCAACAAACATCGCAGTAATATCCCTGGTGAACCTTCCGACCATGAAACCCACAAAATAGTTCCTGGGTATTATGAAGAGGACTACGAATGTAATTTTCCAATCATACGTCGAAGATACAGAATATCTTCTCAAATTTCTTTGATCTTAATTTATCGTTCATGAACCGGCAATAGATTATATCAAACAACAAAGAAGAAGAAGAAGAAGAAGATGAATTAGAAGACTGAGAATACGATTAAGAATTAGAATTATAAGACGAAGAAAATGAAAAAGAAAATGAAGGAAGGTAAATAATAAGAGATAGAAGAGTAAGAAGAAGGAGATGAATAATAATAATAATAATAATAATAATAAGAAGAAGAAGAAGAAGAAGAAGAAAAAGATGAATAAGAATATCAAGAATACGATTAAGAATTAGAATTATAAGACGAAGAAAATGAAAAAGAAAATGAAGGAAGGTAAATAATAAGAGTAGAAGAGTAAGAAGAAGGAGATGAATAAGAATAATAAAGAAGAAGAAAAATGCTATCAATTAAATGACAATTCTCCTATAGGGCCTAAGGACCATAGTTTGGATCCGGCCTTACAGGATACAAAGCAGGAAAGTTAACATACAAAAAATAATAATAATAATAATAATAATAATGATAAGAAGAAGAAGAAGAAGAAGAAGAAGAAAGTGCTATCAATTAAATGACAATTCTCCTATAGGGCCTAAGGACCATAGTTTGGACCCGGCTCTACAGGATACAAAGCAGGAAACATAACATACAAAAAAAAAATAATAATAATAATAATAATAATAAGAAGAAAAAAGTGCTATCAATTAAATGACAATTCTCTAAAGGGCCTAAAGACCATAGTTTGGATCCGGCCTTAAATACAAAGACCATAGTTTGGATCCCCCTACCTAAAGGATCCGGCCTTACAGGAAAAAGCATAACATACACAAATAATAATAATAAGAAGAAGAATTCCCGGTTATGTGTTCAATATCAGGGTAGGTTGGAGTCTTTAGCCTTGAATGGCAACTAGTTTAGGAGAAGAAGAAGAAGATGATGAAGAAGATAAAATGGAAGAAGAAGGCTGGAAGAAGAAAAAGATGAAGAAGAAGGCGGGAAGAAGAAGAATAAGAAGAAGAAGGAGAAGAAGGAGGAGGACAAGGAGGAGGAGGAGAAGGCTGGAAGAAGAAAAGGATGATTAGGAAGAAGAAGAAGAAGAATGAAAGAAGAAGGCTGGAAGAAAATATGAAGAAAAAAGCTGGAAGAAGATGAAGTAGGCTGGTGGAGAAGAAGAAGAAGAAGATGAAGATGAAGAAGAAGAAGAAAAAAGAGGGAGAAGAAGATGAAGAAAAAGAAGAAGTAGAAGTGGATCTAGAAAGAAAATAGACGCAGAAAGCGACGTAGGCAAGAAAAAGCTTTTACAAGTACATTTTATGGTTTCCATGGGGTAGGAAGAATGAGAGGAAGAAGAAAAAGAAAGAACCGAGGAGAAGAAAAAAAAAGGCAAAGGAAGATGACTGAAGGAAAAAAAGAAGACGAAAATGCAAAAGAAGAAAAAAAAGAAAAGAAAAAGAGAAATCTTTCAAACTTACTTTTTTTAGTGTATCCAGGTTAACATTTAAGGCTAATTCAGTTTTCAGTTTGTCCGGCAGCATTCCTAAGGAACCAATATCCAGACTACCGTTCAATCGACCCCTGTGAAAAA